GGGCAAAAACAAGATGTAGCACTGCTTCGTCTTCTTGATTTTGTACCGAACTTAGCCATTTTCTATTTACTTATAACCTATTCAAATATATAGAAATAAATTAAACTATTAAATTTAAATCAAAATATTGCCACATTAAAATTACGAAAATACGGATTGAGCACGAAATAAAATTTCAACTTATATAATAACCTTACAGTCACGATATTTTAGCACGTTTAATATTTAAAGCTATTTTTTTCTCGTCTATAAAGAAGGATAAAGATGACAAATAAAAGGTGATCGATCGCATACCAACTTCAAACAAACAAAACTTTGAACATGGCATGAACACGGAACCCAGTGGAGTTCCGGAGGTGATATTGGGTGCCTGGGGGGGAATGGAAAATAACATCCCTTTTTTATCGTCCACACCCGTCCCGCCACATGTATTGATCTAATAAAAGGAAAAGTCCATAGTTAAATTATGTACAAAATCAAAGGTCTCCCAATTGGTACGTATCAAAAGTACCATTGTGTCAATGTTAATATTTTTTTGGTTTTTAGTATTGGAGGTAATTACCTTTATTTTGACATTAGGAATTTCTTTATTTATCTAAGGATTCTCGTCGAACCCATTTGGTTAGTTTGGTCAGTTATTTATACTGGGCGTTGGCTAGTATTTCTCAGATGAGGTCTGGACGCCGAGAGTAGTTTATCCATGTAAAGTGATCTTGGGTGTGTGTTTTTTATATAGCCCATGCTGTGTGGACTTATGTGTGTTCAGTTTGCACTGCTGAGTGATCTTGGGGTTCAGAGATGTTTATATTTTTATATTCATATGAAGCAGAATTTGTGCAATATCTTATACGTGAAAAGAAAGAAACATTTGCTGTGGCCTTCAAATCGACATTTAGATATATCGACCACGTATTTTCAATTAACAATGGTAATTTCCATTCCTACGTCGATACGATATATCATGGTGTGCTTGAGATAAAAGATACCACAGAGTCTTACACATATGTTTCATACTTGGATATTTTACTTGAAAAAGACGTTAGTGGTAATCTAACAACCAAGCTATATGATAAACGTGATGACTTTAACTTTTCTATCGTCAACTTCCCTTACTTATGCAGCAATATATATACTTTCATCACCTGCGTACGGAGTATATATATCTCAGTTGATTCGATACGCAAGAGCTTGCTCTACATAAGAACAATTTCTATAACGAGGTAAATTATTGACAAGCAAGTTGATGAAACAAGAATATCAACAGTCTCGTTTAAAGTCATCATTTTGTAAGTTCTATGGTCGATACAATGACCTTGTCAGCAAAAGCAATTTATCATTGAGTCAAATGCTAACTTACATTTTTCATACTAACTTTTTATATTGCATTACCGATAACTGTCAATGTCTCAAAGCAGCTTAAATCACGTGATTCGCGCATAGGCAGTGCGTTTAAACCAGAGAGCACTGCTTTAAAAAGACTATACTGAAACTCTTTATAACTTTTTATGGAAGTTATTCATTTACTTCGAAAAAGAATCCATCGTATTTAGATCGGAATCCTTTTTTATTTGATTTGAACACATTTTATAATGTAATAATACATAAATGGATGGGGCAGCAGATATTGCTTATATAAACCCTTTCCAAAGGTAGATGGTTAATTACAATACATTATACTACATCTAATTACAAGTCTATACATCACCAATACATCGGAACTTAATTTTAGGTAAAATGGATGAAGGATGATATGGAGAATAACGAACAGTTTTCAATAACAAAAGTCCATAAAACAGTACAAAATAGGAACAGAGCAAACACGGACTTCCGAAATATCAGAGGTGGGAACACATGCCACGGAGGAGTGAGCATCCCCTGCTGACCGTCACAACCGCCGTGTGCTTCTTGTAATGATCGGGAAATACCGGAAAAATGTTTATAAATAATGGATTAACAATTAGTATGTCAATCATTGACTAACAAGTTGATGAAACAAGAATATCATCAGTCTCGTTTAAAGTCATCATTTCGAAAGTTCTATGGTCGATACAATGACCTTGTCAGAATATACAATTTATCATTGAGTCAAATGCTGACTTACGTTTTTCATACTGTTAGTCCATTATCTATACACTGAATTGACGACGGATTTTTCAGTTATTTCCTGATCATGACAGAGAACACATGGCGGGTGTTACCGGTCAGCAGGGGATGCTTACTCCTCCATGGCACCTGATCCCACATCTGATGTTTCGGTGGTCCGTCTTTGCTCTGTTCATATTTTGTTTTGTTTTATGGACTTTGAGATTGAATACTGTTCGTTATCTCCATATCTTTCTCATTTAATGGTCGTAAATTTAATTATTAAGAATGAATTACATAGATATCGAAGAAATACGATGAAATATAGGGCGAACGGTATTCAAGCTCAAACGTCAATTTAAGAATGCAAAATAGGAACAGGGCAACCATTTCTCTGACAAAAGTTGAATATATCTAATAACTTTTAGAAGCTGACATATGGAGGATCAATGAATATGAAAGACTTTTTAAAACTTTTTTAAGGAGGTCTCACATGACAGGATTATTTTATAACTCTTCCTATTTATGTCTATAATTTCCCTATTGGTAATTATAATAGCTAATTAAACATAAAAAAAAACATCTTAGTAAAATTGTTCACAGCAAACAAACTAGTTTTATACGAGGAAGAATTATTTCTTAAAATATAAGACTGATACATGTATATGTTATATATTTAATACAAATCTTCAAAATTTATACTGTATATTATAATGTATGCTTAATAATGCAGCTGAAATTAGTAATACAAAATTTCACTGCAACACTGGAACAAATGAAACCTCACTCCTCTAGGTTGTTTAACGGTTTGAAAAACTCTGTTATTGCCAACCTCAATTCATATTCTTTGCTTCTCTTCAAAGTTCTTCTGAACTAAAATTGAAAGAATTAGAAAAAATTCCTATACATTATGGTATATTTAATACATACATATATAATGGTTTGCTACAATTTAAGACTGTAAAGGAAAATTTATATAATGAATTATAAGAAAGAAGCGAGTTCGTCATGTCCTTAAAGCTAGAATGGATGAAATAACTGCAACTATAAGGACAGCGGGTTAGATTATTTTTAGATTTTTACATTAAAGTTTTATACTGTCGGCAAGGATTTGTTGCCAATAAAATGAAAGATTTAAAAAAAAATGTTTTGGTGGAATGTGTTGCATGCATGGTTATGCTTCTATGACAAATCCTTACAAAATGACACATTTCTTTCTCTAGAACTACTAATTTTGAACTAAAAAATTAATTATAAATAAAAAGCCATTTTTCTTAAGAAAATGGTTTTCATGCAATATTTCATGCATTAGTGACACACTTTATGACGATGGATCATTTATGAGTTTGAAAGATTTACATGATTGTGAAATACGGGGTAAAACCCATTTTCTTGAATGCAGTGGCATAAAGCAGCGATATTAGAATGGCTGAATAAAATAAACAAAGATTATATTAGTCTAACAAAGTTATCCATATTTTCCAGAAAATTTTAATTCTTTGCTGATTCAAAAAAAATTTCTTAAAGACAAGTTATTTTGCAAGCTTGTCTAATTTCATCCTGAAGTCTTTTAAAAGGTACTCAACGGATGTGACCAGTCGAGTCGACAGGGGATGCTTACTTCTCCTCGGCACCTGGGGCAGGATTCATTAAATTTCTTAATATATTCTTAAGTTTAAAAAATCACTTATTGATAAGCTATTGTACATAACAATCTGTAAATTTTCAATACATAGTCAATAAATCCCCTTGGTTCACCCTTCCGGTAATTCGTGTAATAATCCTGTGGGGAGCCCCTTAATTCTTTTAGTTCCCATAGTGACATAGCAGCCCTGTGGGGAACCCACTCGTTTTACTTTAAATATATAGTAAGGTTAAACGTGCTCCGGGTAGTTCCCGGGAAAAAATATCAGCCGATAGATGTGTTCGTCTAGTGCTACCAGAGGGCCAGTACATAGAAAACCACATGGGTCTTATGCATTGTTTTCATGCCTTAAAGTCTCTCTACAGAAGGTTACAGAATATGTGAACTGTCGATAACTGAAATCCCTTTATTAGAGAGTAGCCATTTCCATGAAACGGTGTGTGACAGAGACCGTAGCGTGTGAGTAAACTATGGCGGCCCGTACGACACATCTCTAAATCCAGTTTTGTGAGTTATATCACCTGGCGGTGACCCACGTGGAAGATTTTATCATCTGATTTAAAGTCAATATATGAACAAAACATTGTGAAAGTTTGATAATTATTGATATTAAGAATTTGGAATTATGAATATTTAGTTTCATTTGAAAGACATTGTAAGGTGTTGAGCCTGGCGTCGGACCATTGACTCTGGAACCTGAGAGGAACCCAGTGTGCCACGCAGCCCCTTTTCAATAAACATTGTTCCGTGAAGCCGTAATAAAGGAAATTGGAAAAACTATTCCTAAAGGATTTCCGCACTTACGGAAGGACCAGGGCAAACGGGACCAATTCATACCAAAGGGACATGCGCACTGACTGACGTGGGCCTGGACCAACTAACAAAAACATTTTCAATTTATTTTATTTTGTACATTTTTTTGGTTAATTTTCTTTGTTAAAATTTCTGTTTGTTTTGTTCTTTATTTTTGACATTAAATATTGTTTAAATTTTAAGGTTCTTCTTTGATTTTTTTAAAGTTCATCAGGGTGTATAACCCACTCCCTCACAGCCATTCCTTTTTTGCTTAACTTTCATTTGTACTGCTTAAAGTTAGTAAAAAAACTTAAAATGTAATATAAAAATACTTAGTGCTTAAGTATTGACTTAAAATTAAGTGTCCTCTGGAGGTGTCTTGAGTAGATAAGAAATACGTAAGTTTTTTTCTTCAATATAAAAAAAAAGTGAACAGAAGTAATTTTGATTTTTTTAATTAAAACATCATCATATAATATCTTGAACTCCTTTTGAATTTGAGATTTTATCTACTGGTAAGATTGATTGATTGTATATTGTTTAACGCCGAGTCGGCAATATTTCAGTGGAGGTAGATACAAATGTGCAGTGTTGATGACACAGCTGTACATTTCAGTTTTGATCTAATAGACATAGAACAAAATACCTAGTCCAAAGATTAACCGTCAAGATTACCACTCTCGATGTCTTATTTTTTTTATATTACGCCTGGGTTTGATTTCATGTGATCATAAAGTTTCACAAGCCATTTTGCACCCTGTTCCTTCATCCTAGTGAGAGATAAATCAACGTGGACTCAACTTTCTTTTTCGTTTTTCGATAGTTTCATAACGTCATCTGCATAGAATTGCTGCAACTCCGATTTCAACTTACAATTTTAAAGGTGTGCAGTTTAGCACAAATCTTAAATACCTTTATTATTTCCAGCGCTGATCCCCCCCTGTTTTTAGGGAGTCTTTGCGTGTTTTGTTTAGCTCCAAATATGTATTGTTTCTATGAACTTTTGAGTTGGAGCAATCTTCATAGTTAAAGATTTAATCTCAGATCTGTATTGCTTGTTAGTTTCTTGGAGACCACAGTTTTTTCTTCACTTTTTTAAATTTCATATATTTTTTCTTATCTTAGAAGGGCTTTTGACAGTGTTTTTTGCCTTAAGGACCAATCGCAGGAGTTGGTAAATCTTGAAGGGTTTTGCAGGTGGTCGCTAATTTAATGTTAAAGCTTTTCGTAGGTGTCGGCTTAATTAATCTGAAAGCTTTTTGCAGGTGTCGTTGACTTTAATCTGAAGGCTTTTTGCATGTTTCAGCTACTTTGTCCCAGAATACGACGTCCCCCTGAGGATCGTCGGGGTACTCAATATAGGACCGACTTTCTACCAAGGCCAGCATTGATAAAGGCAACATCTTAGCAGTCACATGTCGATACATAACCATGAACAGTACGTCCTTTCCATTCCGGGTATAAATACTCTCCATCCTTGCCATATTGAATTCATACATACACCAGTAAGAGTTCAGGAAGTGATTAGACAGAATTATGATTGTTTTACGACTCTTGGTGATAGCTTCTGTAATGTTTCCTGCGATCTCTGTACCGGGCCGGAAGTCCCTCTTGCTGAGGCACAGGCGCAGTCCTCTTGATTCCTCTAGCTGGGAAATCGACTCGTGCACTGCGAAATCACTGTCTTCATCGGCGTATGATATAAAGGCATCAAACGTAAACGTATCTTGATATATAGGGTTGGCTAGTCGGTATTTGTTTTTGGTCATATAAAACAAGTACCGCAGTTTCCATCGGTAGCGGTAAAATAACCCAGTAACGATGATTGTCACGAAGCACACTATGACAGAAGTAATGACGAATGTTAACATTTGATAATTTTTACACCGAGTTTCAAGCAATCGTAAAACTGTTTCTATGTCTTGGAAACCAAAGCTTGTTCCATTGTCTAACTTACATTTCATCTGATGAAAGTCCGAGATATGCTTGCGATATTTGGAAGACCACTGTAAAAAATGTCGAGAATGGCATGAACAAGTAAAAGGATTGTCTGCCAGTGAAATTTTAAAATGTCTATTCTTTTTTAATATTTCTGAAAGCGAGACTGTGGCGTCCTGACTGAGTTGCCTTATCGTATTGTCTGAGATATCAATCATGAGCAGGTTCCACATGTTATCAATCTTCACATTCCATTCTGTCAAGAAATTAGAGCTTATATTTAGCTTTTGAAGCTTTCCTAGATTTTTGAATAACATTTCAGGAAGCACTTGTATTCTGTTGTCCGATAAGTCTAGCTCTTGAAGATTGACCAGATTCTTAAATGTTCCCCCGTCCAAATCGTCTTTCAGACTGAAACCTAAGAGGTTGTTGTTAAGCTTTAAGACTTGCAATGCTGACGTAAAATCAAATAAAGCGGTTGAAAGTGAGGAACAAAAACAATTTGACAAGTCCAAATATTTCAGTTTATTAAATCCTATAATGGGTCCCGTGAAGCGAGAGATAACATTCTGGGAAAGGTCTATATGGGACAACTGATTGGATGGGTTTACAAGAATCCTAAACAGTTCCAAATGTATGCCACATGTTCTCAGTATGAGAGTTCTTAAATTTTTCGGCAGAGTTATGGTGGTATTATATCCAATTTGAAAATTTTCTGTGTTGAATTTGTTGAAATGTCTCTCCACTGTGTTATCGGAAGGTCGTATAGGATTCTGACAAATGAAAGCTTCTACTAGTTTGCTAATGGGCTTGGACGCCAACTGGAGGGACAAGTCAAGTGTTTTCATCCCTGTTAAGAATATAAGATCCATTAAGTAAGTACCAGGTGCCATTTTATTTTGGACAAGCGACACTATTCTGAGAGTGTGGGGAAAATAGAGGAGAGCATATCTTTCGAAAAGAGCTAGTCTGTTGTTCTCTAGGTAAATTTCTTCGAGAGAAGTGTTCCGAAAGTGCATGACGTCACGAATTTGTATCACAGTACCTAAACCATATGTGCAGTGGATTTTGTTAGCTTTCAAAACCTTTATTTTGGAAGACTGTAAATCGCTTGTTATATTTGCAAAACTTGCAAATGTAAGTTTTTCATTGTATGAAATATCAAGGACCGTTATATTTCGTTGATTCTTTAGGGCACCTGCTGCAATGCTTTTTATCTGACAAGAGGACAGATCCAGAACCTCCAAGTGAGGCAGGTTTTCAAAGAACCTTTCTCCAATTTGTTTTATCGAGCAAGACCCTGAAAAGCTTGATACATCTAGGACATTCAGTGAGGTCAATGAGCGAAACTGTCGACCAAATTGTGTCGAAGAATAGACGTCAATTCGGAGAGTCTTTAATGAGAAGAGATGTTTCCACATTTTATCTGGAAATGTGTTGTTCCGAACCTTGATTGTAGTCTTCTTGATGTTTAGTGCACGTAAATCTTTCAAGTCTCGGAAGATTTGCGGTCTGAATATGCTTTTGTCCATTTGGAGTTGATTTCCCTCTAGATTTAAAGTTCTCAAGCGTGTTAAGTTTGCGAACACATCGTTTGTAAAATTTTGAAGTTGGTTATAAGACATATCTAAATGTATGAGGCTTGTACTGAACGGGTACAAGATGTGACTTATTCTATTATGTCCTAAATTTAGAGTGTCGACATCTGGTCGAGTTTCGGGTACCTTAGTGATTGTGAGATTTGAACAGTCTGCTAGATACCTCTGGTTACTCTTTGGGACACAGCGACAGTTAGGATTACTTGTGCAATGATTCCAACTTTCTATTCCCCAAACAGCCATGAAACCACGGAAAATGGTAATAAAAATCTGAAAAGCAAACGTATATCAAGATGAATAAATTTTTGTGTTTTAATACAGTATCTACGAGTAATAAATGAATCAATGAAGTAATATATTTAAAATTTGAATAAGAAAAGAACCATCAAAGAATTTTTTTCCCTGAAATTTTTATTATCTACACATTTCTACAGTGATTTTACCTGCGTTACATCCTCATGTCATGTCATTCAGCAAATGACTTTATTTAAGAAAGACTTTTTGGGGAGAAGTGCATTTTAAGACAGACCCTTTTATTGACCATGCAAAGGTTAAACTCTGGCTTTGAGTTTCCCATTGAATAAGAGTGAAAGGAAACGAATACCAATAGTAAAGAAAAAACGTGAATTACATAAGATATTGTGTTGTTTAGATATAGGTTAAATAAAACTTACGAAATTATTGTTTCCCATTTCTCTGACAAAAGTTGAATATATCTATAACGTTAGAAGTGATCTGACATATGGATGATCAGTGAATATGAAAGACTTTTTTAAGAGGTCTCACATGACAGAATTATTTTATAACGCTTCCTATTTAGGTCTATAATTTCCTTAATGGTAATAATAATAGCTAATTAAATGAAAAAAAAATATGTTGGTTAAATTGTTCGTAGCAAACTAGTTTTATACAAGGAAGAAATACTTCTTAAAATATGACTGATACATGTATATGTTATATATTTTATACAAATCTTCAAAATATATTAAATTTTATGCTTTATAATGCAACTAAAATTAGTAATTCAAAAAATCAATGCAACACTGGAACAAAAGAAACGTCACTCCTCTTGGTCGTTTAACGGTTTGAAAAACCTGTTATTGCCATCCTCAATTCATATTCTTTGCCTCTCTTCAAAGTTCTTCTGAACTAAAAATGAAAGAATTAGAAAACAATTTCTATACATTATATATATAATAAATACATATATAATGGTTAGTTACAATTTAAGACTGAAAAGGAAAATTTATGTAATGAACTATAAGGAAGAAGCGAGTTCGTCATGTCCTTAAAACTAGTATGGATGACATAATTGCAACAACAGGACAACAGGTTAGATTATTTTTAGATTTTCACATTAAGATTTTTTACTGTCGGCAAGGATTTGCTGACAAAAAAATAAATGATTAAAAAAAATGTTTTGGTGGAATGTGTTTTATGCATGGTTATGCTTCTAAGACAACCCTAAGAAAAAGTACTACATGTATAGCTAACTATAGTTTACTATGATTAACTATAGCTTATTATAGTAAATAAAAGTTTTCACTATAGTAAATCAAAGTATTTTTACTATGAATTTCATATAGATATATTCAATTTTCTCAACTTCATACAAATATTTTTCTGAAATGAAAATAACGTATTGCTTGTACATTTATAATTTTATCATAAACGTACATCATTAGTATGTAATTTAAGATATATTAAGGCTTCAATTAAAAACAAAGTTCCAGAGTAAAGTTTCATAGTAATCAAAGTGTCAAAGTGTTACAAAATGACACATTTCTTTCTCTAGATCCACTATTTTTTAACAAAAAATTAATTGTAAATAAAAAGCCATTTTTCTTTAGAAACTGTTTTCTTGCAAAATTTCATGCATAAGGGACATACTTTATGACGATCGGTCATTTGTGAGTTTGAATGATTTACATGACTGTGAAATAAGGGGTTAAACCCATTTTCTTGAATACAGTGGCATAAAGCAGCGATATTAAAATGGCTGAGTAAGATAAACAGAGATTCTATTAATTTAACAAAGGTATCTTATCCATATTTTTCTAGAAAATGTTAATTCTTCGCAGATTCACAAAAAACATTCTTAAGTTTTTTTTTGCAGGTGTGGCTATTTTCATCCTGTGGTCTTCTAAAAGGTTCTCGGCGGATTTAACCAGTCGAGTCGACAGGGGATACTTACTCCTCCTCGGCACCTGGGGCAGGATTCATTAAACTTCTTAATATATTCTTAAGATAAAAAAATCACTTACGCTATTCATTTTTTACTTAACATTCATAAGTACTGCTTAAAGTTAGTAAAAAAAAAACTTAAGTGTAACATAAACATACTTAGTGCTTAAGTATTGACTTAAAGTTAAATATCCTCAGGAGGTGTCTTGATTAGATAAGAAATACGTAAGCAGGTGTGTTTGAGCTTAAAAACTACTTTTCTGCATTGTACATGTATATTGATTTGTACTTTTTTTATCAACTCCTTTTTTCTTGTTCTTGGGGATCAGTTAACTTTTTAATGCATTCATTGTGAAATGGATGACTATCCATGTGAACATTTCTTTAAAAATACTTATATTAAATTGGCAAGGTTTAGGGGTCATGAATAAAAGGAGGGATGTTTTTAAAATTTTAAAGGAAAAAAATTACATGTGCATTTCCTTCAAGACACACACTTTGTCAAAAAAGATGAAACAATGAAAAAGTATTATGGGAATATAAGGCTTTTTTTAGTTCATACAAATCAAACTCACGGGAAATCGCTACAGTTATTAATAATAAAAAATTGCTGTTAAGAGCGTTTGTCTGAAATTAAAAAGATAATAAAAAACTTGAATCCATTGCTTTAATCCCTCAAAACAAATTCACAATAAGATATACTTGACAAAAACAGCCAAGGTCTGAGTAAAGCAAAGAATTGCAAAAAACATTTTCTATGCCATTAGTGGTACGAACTAAATTCTTACCGAGAAGACAGTTCAATTTCTGGAGAAGTCTAGAAAAAAATTTTGAAAAAAAAAAAAAAAAAAAAAACCCAGCAAACTTTATGAGAGGAAGAAACCTAAATAAGGAATCCACTACATTACATTTCTTTATAACAGCGTCCAAACCTAAACGCCATGCATATTAAGACAGTTTAGGGGATAAACAGTGGCCCTTTTCATAAAAAATTCTACGACTAGATGAACATTTTTCCTCTTTAATTATTTGATAAATAAATGTAAATAATAAAAAAAAAATCTTTAATATTTATACCAAGTAACTGAAAGCAAAAAGAAAAAGAGGGGTTTTTTTATGTCAACTCTGATATATTTGAGGCCTAGGTTTGCTCTGCTCCAGGTTTGTATTGTTTTATTGTACTTTTCAGCTTGAACACTTTCTTTACGTCCATATTTCATGTTCTAGATTCCCAGCAACAATTCAAGATATCTATATGAAATCGTGACAAGAAAACATTGATGTAACCATCAATTGTCGCCAGAGAAATATGTTAAGTAAACAATGAAAATGAGTCTTGATCATCAAACCATTCGATGTGTGAAAAGGCATGCGTCTAATTCATGGAGACGATAGTCGCAAATATTTTGAAAACTTGTAGTCGGATAAAAATCAATCAAAAACAATACCATTTAAAACTTGATCATTTCCTCAAGTTAATGTTGGCTGCATAAAATATAAATTGACGTTAGACACACGCATTACCTATATTTAAAAATGTATTTAGTTTCAATTTTAGAATATAAAACACGAACTATGCAGAGTACGTTTTTATCCGAGAAGTAAAATTCGATGTTCTAAAAAAAGGGACCTGTCGTTTTCCGATAGTAAATGATAAACAACTTTATATATTGAATATGAAAAACATAATATATATTTTTACAGATTCACTTTATGGAAGTAAGTATATTATGTATTTCGTAATTTATAAACGGAAAGAACATTCTGATTAACAATCTTTTCAATGTTTAGAAAACCTATAATTCTAATAACTACTCCCAGTCCAATCACCATACACCAATATTTAAGCTTATATATATGTTACAGTA